ATTCAAGTACAGCACACACAATTTATTCTATTTGGACCAGCATGCCGATTGGGTGCTTATGTCTTAAATTAATATATTACATAATTATTAATTATATTTTGTATTTTATAAATTAATATTTTTGAAAATATATGTTGAAAATCTTTTGTAAAAGAAATAAATTTTAATACTCTTGGGGTGTGTTTGCTTGGGGTTTCGATTTTGAGTTGGGATTTGAATAGTAAAAATTTTGAATTTGAATAGTTGTATGATGTGATATAAATAGGTGTTGATGTGATGCTTTGAATGTAAAATTGATTTTTAGTATAATATAAAAAATAAAAAATAGGTGTTTGATTTGATGTTTTTGTGGGAAAAAAATTGGATGAATAGTATAAATCCAATCCAATCCCCCAAACAAACACATCCTTGTGAATTTTAAATTTCGGTCTCTAATCTTATTTCTTACAATAACATATTAAAATTAATATTTTTATTTGTATCATTGAAATCTGCAACTGTTATTACATTACGGAATCATCTTTTACGTAACTCTTAATTCATTGTTATTACTATTATTAGTTTACATTGTATCTTTTTTATTATTATTTTAATATTTTTTAAGTGAAAAATTATTGAATACTTACATTTGTAAGAAATAAATATTTCATTTGTGTCAATATATATGATCTTTTTGTTTTAGACACTGTTATTTAGATAATCAAAATTAATAAGTTAAAAATAGTAAGTTATGATATTTTTTTTATATATGAACGGTGTTGCTAATATTTTTAAAATATGAATTATTATATAAAAAATTTTAAAAAATAAAATATGTGTTTAATTATTTTTAACATTATATTTCAATAAAATATATATAATATGAATATTATTTTGCGGAGAATAAAATTGTATATAATGTAAATAAATAAATAAAAAATATTTATAATTTCCGTGAATAAAAGCTTATTAATTCTTGGCCATTGATATCGTCAAAATGAGTCCAGAAATACTAACATTGCATATGCAATGCGAGATGATCAAATAGAAATTTGATTTTTATTAGTATGTTATTTTCATTGTCGTAAATTTGTATTTTCGACCAAGTCGTTAAAATTATTGTAAAATTTATGTTTTCTTAGGAAATTATTAAAATTGTTGGAGTACTTAAGTTTTTAAGTTTCATTTTCTACTAAATTATTATAATTATTTTAATTTTTTTTTTGTTATTGTTGTGAATGTATTTAAATACTTTATTTAACATATCAAACTAGCTGTTATAGTTCATTATTATTATTATTATTATTATTATTATTATTATTATATGCAATACAGAATTGGAAAGCCAACTATGATGATAGAAATCTCATAAGTGGGGTGACATGAAGTGTTTATTGAAAATTTTAATCTCACTTTTAATGAACTGTAGAATTTCGTGATTGTGAAGCACATCACCAACTTCGAGCATATTTGGTAAAACATATTTGAGAACACTTTAGAGGCAACAACGATGAGGACTAATGTTTTAATGAATTTAATAATTTTTAAGAAGATTTAAATTTTAAATTTCGTCAATTATTAGAGCAATATTAGGGTTATTTAATCTTAATTGATATACTTTTTATTTATGATATGGTCTGCAAAAATATTTATTTATTTCATACATATATTAAAATTTTATAAATAAAAGTTAAAAAATTATAATATTGAATTAACTAGTAATTTAAAAAATAATGAATTGTAAAAATTTTAAAATGATAAAAATAAATATGTAATATAAATGTTGATATTCATATTGATGTGATCGTGGGTTGAATGAATAGTTTAGTGATCGGAGAAAAATAAAGAGTTAATGATTTATTAAGGTGAGACGATAAAATAAAATAAAATAAAATAAGTAGAAATAATTTAACAATTATGGATACTGTAATATAAACATATATTCTAATTTTATTTCTTTATTTAAACTATCATATTAATTTTTCAACTCTATTTCAAATTAATAAAAATTTCAACATGATTTTTATAAATTCAAAACCTTCTAATAATTACAACTAACAAAATTCAATTAAAAACTCCAAAAAAATTTAAGAACTAACTAAAAAATTCCCAAATAAATAAAATCTCATATATATATATATTAATAATATATGAATATATTGAGTGTGTTTATTTTGTGAGATTGTTAAAAAAAAAAAAATTATAAAAAAATATAGAGAAACATATAGGAATATAAAAATAATAAAGGTATATATTGTATTAAATTTTTTTAAAAAAATAAATAAGAAAGAACAAAACCATCATTCTCCAACAACAAGGACGGACAATTTCTTGTATTTTGAGTAACATACATATATATATATATATATTACATACCATTAATTTTAGTATTATAATATAAGATCTATGTTGTTGGTTTACAATTTTTGGCATCACTATTTTTTACTATAATTATATCAAACTGACAAATTCGTTTTAAAAGTATCATATTCAATATATACAATATCTAACAATCATTTAATTATGATAATTTTAAAATTTAAAATAAAAAATACACACACACATACACACTTAAATATATATTTTTCTTAAAAATATGAAATTTAAATACTAAAAGGTGAATTAAAATCTCAAAGAAATACACTATATATATAAATCGCACAGTGATAATTATTTTGGTTATGTGTAAGTTTAATCATATTAAATTTACTAACTAATTAATTATTTTGAATCAATAAAAACTTAGAAATAGATAACATATCTTGTAAATTTTCATAAAAAGTAGGCATAATAACATAAAATCTATTTGTGATTTATGAAAATTGCACGAAATTTTTTATTATTATTTAAAAATTGCGTCAAGACTTTTTTTATAGTTTAAAAAATCATGCATTTATCCTCACATATGTCATTAGTTAACAATGATTTAATAGTTATGGAGTTTCTGAATTATATTTACAGCTAGTACGCGTGTAGAATAATTATAATTAATTAATGATGTAATGAGGATTAAACGCGAAATTTTTAAAATTACAAGAGAATTTAAAACAATTTTACAATTATAGGGAATTTGCACAATTTTCATAAATTACAAGTGGGATGCATATTGTTTTGTATAAGAAGTATCGTATTTAACACATATTTTGCATATAGAATATTAAATCTACACTGGTTTTGGTTTTTATTATACTATTTTAATATTTTTTTTTAAAAAAATATCAAATTAAAATAATAATTTTTATTTATTATATTACACTAAAGTTTAATTTTACATCAAAATATCACATCAAACAATTATTTCAATTCAAAATTTTACTATTCAAGACAAAAATAAAAAATCTCACGTGTAAACACACTATTTTTCTTTATTATTGGATACCATCTATGCTCGTTTTAGGGTTTGCTTGGTTTTGGTTTGAGACTATATTTTTAATTTTAATTTAAATGATATTTTAATATGATATTTTTATATAAAATACTAAGTTAAATATTAGTAATTTGTGTTTGAAATCCAAACCAAACACACCTTAATAGTGTGTTTATTTTTTATTTTAAATAGAAAATATTACTACTATTCATCTTTTATAATTTTAATAAAAAATATTTTCTTCGTCCCGGATATAATGTCTTCTTTACCGTAGACACGAGAATTTAGGAGAAATATAATTAGTAAACGATTAAAAATGTATTAGTGAAAATAATTATTATTTAATAAAAATAATATTAAATTAAGATTAAAATAATTAGTATTATTAAAATTAAAACTTTAAAACGAGGTTAAAGTGTATAATATTTTTCCAAAAAAGAAAAGTGACAGGATAAGTGAGACAAACAGAAATAGAAATGTGGACACGATAAGTGGGACGTAGGGAGTACTATTTTTTTTCTAACAAAAATCACATAAAAATATTATTTAAACAAAATACAAATATAACATTTTAAAGTTAATTTCAAACTACAACGAATGATTTGTTTCTTTTGTAAAAAAAATTCAACACATTTCTTCGAAAAATTAATATATTTCACACATTTATTATTTTTAAATTAATTCATAATTTTCTATATCTCACATATTTTTTTTTTCTTCGAACCAAAGCACAAAAGAAACACACCATAAGTTTTGTAATTTTTTTATTTATTTTTCAAAATACATATTCTATATAGTAATAAGTCCCAAAATTTGGCAAAGGAATATACACTATATATTCTTTTTAACTACGTTATAATAATCTCAATTCTATTTTTCATTTTCATTATTCAAAATTAAAATATAATTTAATGCTTCTATTTTACAAATATGCGGCACAACCATATTTATTATTTTGAAATACTTTGCGTGGCTTGTGGATCAAAGAGTAATAATAATAATAATAACACTAAAATAATAATATTATAAAAAAATTTATAATAATCTTCGTGTCCATCATCGTCTTGGGTGACGTATCCATTGTTGTCAACACTCATTATACCATATATATTTGTCCAAATAATTCAAATTCTTGATTACAATTTAAAATCGAATCATCGTTTAATCGAAACTTTCAAAAGACAATTTAAGTTACGATTTACGAACAACTAATTTCTATTAATTTTTTTTTTAATTTTACTTTTTTAATTTTTTTAATTTTAATTTTTACGATTAATTTTAATTTTGATGTTAATTTAATAAATTTTGTATTATTATAGAAAAAAATAAATAATCTTTAAAATTTATACAATAATTATTTATCAATTTATTAATTAAAAATTAAAATTAAAATGAATTATATAGGAATATACAAAAATAACAATGTAAACTTACATAATAAAAAAAATTATAAAATTTAAATTCACAAAAATAGTATTATATTTATTATTTTTCCATATATTAATAATAATACTATAAAAAATACGTAACGGGATACAGTCTCCCTGGACCCTGACCTGGAATGTATTCGTATATTATACGTATTTTGTACGTATTTGTTGTGTATACGGATACGGTATACCTAAATCCATCGTCGTTTCAGAAATGTGTTTCTTCTTCTTCTTCTTCTTCTTCTTTTTACATATTCTCATTCTAACAAAACAATTGTGATTATGATGTGAAAATTAGAGCGATGCAAGCCTACAATCGGCTCCCCAGCAGCGGAAATAGCAGCCCAAGATCCCCGCCGGCGTCCCCCCTCAGCCGCTCCCCGCGGTACCGCCACCGCCCCACCAAATCGGGGCGCCCCGCTCCCAAAACACTCGCCCAGCGCATCGCCTGGAACCTACTCTCCCTTCTGCTCAAGCGCCAGGGGATTTTCCTCTTCGCCCCGCTGCTTTACATTTCCGTCATGTTGTTTTACATGGGGACGGTTTCGTTCGATGTCGTCCCCGTCATTAAGCACAGGCACGCCCCTGGCTCGGTTTACAGAAGCCCTCAGCTCTACGCCAAAGTGCGTCGGGATATGGACTCCGATACTTCCTCCGGCGATGCGGTTAGTACTGCAACAACTTGGAGTTTTATATGTATATGTATGTGTATTTACTGGAGATTTAGATGCTATTTTGTTTGGTCAATTTGGTTTGTGCCATGATTACACTTTCGTTTCTGTTGTTATCAACTGGATTTGGTATTTAAGGTCTTTGGAACAATGGATATTCATTTTTATGGCGCTGTTTTAAGTTATTCTGATGTAGAACTGTATGCAAAGGATCCGGCAAGTGCATTGTTTCAATTGTTGGTGTGTTTTAAATAATCATCTTTTCTCCTTATCGTAGATTTTGAGTTTTGTCCGATGGTTATGTTTTAATGGGTTTCTCCGTACCAAAATCTGGAATTGTATACTTGCTTCCTCCATTCTGACACGAAAGATATCTGCTATTTAACTTGGTAGATTTAAGGAAACTTGGGACTTGAGATTTGGTAGAATATAAAGGAAATGGTTCTTGTAGTGCAACTGTGTGCTAGATTTGTATCATTTTCGAGGTAAGATGATAGGCTTGCAATCATCCATGATTTTCCAGAGTGCAACAGAAAAAGTTAAATGAAATTCATAATCTTTTTTATCAGAACTTTTTGTGAAATTTTGAAGAGCATAAGTGGAATATTGGATGTGGCAGGCATCATTAAGATGTGATGTTGGCAAAGTTATTCTAAGAATTTGAGGTTGTCAGTGTTTTATGTGTAGTTGAAGTTGATGTTGGTGTACTGGCTGGCTTACACTAATAGAAACAGGAGAGTTTCATTAACTTTCTAACTGAGATGCTTCTGAAAGCGTAATTATGATGAAGGTGATAGGGAAAAAGCTTAGCTAGGTTAAAGACATAATGTACATATTTGAGATGTCCTTTGATGTTCTGTTACTCCCAGTATGGCATACTAAAGAATTTATCTATTAATGTGGAAAACAAAATGCGCATCTGTAGTTTAATTTTATCCTCTAGTCTTTTCTCTACACATGTTAATTGATGTTAATGTAGCGTTTGATATCTTCTCAGATATCAACCATTTGGAAGCATTCTAATAAAGGTCAATGGCGACCTTGCATAAATAAGTCTTTGGAAGGTACACATTGTCTTTTTCATGTTGTAATCCTTTGTTCGCCGAAACTTAGTCCTATATTTGTTTAGACTTAGTGAAGTCATGAATATATGCTACTGTAGATAGCTCGAGTCTTATTTTATCATTTGATCGGCATTGATCTGTTATGTGTTAGAACAAAATATAATAAAATATACCTTGTTATTGCAGATTTACCTGAGTCAAATGGATATATGTTTGTTGAGGCTAATGGCGGTTTAAATCAGCAGAGAACATCGGTATACTTTTACAGATAACAATGTTTGTGTATCATGATAAAGTCCTGATGTTTTTATATTTGGGAGTTACGGAGATGCACTTTCTCATTGGTTTTAATGTTTCCAGATATGCAATGCTGTAGCTGTGGCCGGCTACCTCAATGCAACCCTCGTTATCCCAAACTTTCATTTTCACAGTATTTGGCGAGATCCAAGGTTAGTCATATTATTGCATGACTAAGTGATATTTTTGTGAACAAATTTTTTACTTTAGTTATTGTTTTAATGGAACAAAGATGAAAAATTATGTGTATGCAAGTGAGATGATGGTGGTGATATTTACTTACATGAGGGTGAAGGCAAACATATCCATTATGTTGGATTCAGAAAAAAGCATCAAATTTAGACATGTTGGCTTTTGGTTCCGGTACCCAATTGCGCTAAGAAATTCTACGATAGTATTTACTATTTTATTGGGTTATATATTTGATAGTTTGGATTAATTAAACATATGAATAAGATACAATAGATCTCTGAATTAGACTTAATGAAGTTAGTGATTTTAGATTGTTTTCTTTCACCTAGAAATTTTCTTCTATGCAGCAGCTGCCTTGTGACGTAATATTTCCTATCTTTCAAAGAAAACAATGTTCTTATACATATATATATATATATATATATTTTTTCACATGCAGCAAATTTGGTGACATATATGATGAAGAATTCTTTATCAGAACCCTGAAGAATGATGTTCAGATAGTTCAAACTGTTCCCAGTTACATAATGGAGCGATTTGATCATAACTTGAGCAATGTGTATAACTTCAGGATTAAAGCATGGTCTTCAATCCAATACTATAAGGAGACAGTTCTCCCTAAGTTGCTTGAAGAAAAGTGAGTCTTAAATGGTTTCTTGCTTTCATTACTTGATATTTTTTTCACTGCCTTCTTACTGAATCAAGAAAACACTGATGACCTTTGATGATGCAATTTATATGTAAATTTGACCACCCCACTGAACTCTTTGTATGGTATGCTTTTCTACATGTACATGTTTCATGTTTGATTCATCCTAAAATTCGCCTTGTATCCTCGAGGTTAATGTTTGATTAGTCTATCCCACTTTGACAGTTCAAAAACATACATCATGAAATTCAGCAGGCATCTCTGTCAATTTCAGTACATGTAGCTTACTTTCTGTATAATATACAAATATATGTTGTTTATACGTTCTCCTTTTTCCTCCTTTAATTGACATGATGACTGATAGTTATTTTGATCCATTATAGTTCCATCTATTTAGTGATACTTCTGCAGTATGATTAGAGAGGCATATATGTATTTGAATATAGGAGTGGATAGATTTTCATTATAGGGCTGTTCTGTTGTTCATTTTCCAGTAACGTTTTACTTATTTGTCTCTCTGTTTCTTGGTTATAGAGATATCACAATTTTGTGTAATATCTCTTATGCTGTTATTAATCTTTTCATTTCGTGATGCATGAACAACTTTTACTTAATTCCTTAGTTTTGAAAGCTGTGCTGTTTTGTAATTGTTTACTCAGGGTTATAAGGATTTCACCTTTTGCAAATCGCCTGTCATTTGATGCTCCTCCTGCTGTACAGCGGCTTAGATGCTTGGCAAATTATCAAGCTCTAAGGTTTTCAAACCCCATATTAACTTTAGGTGAGACTCTGGTGGCAAGAATGAAAGCGCGCAGTGCAAATAATAGCGCAAAATATATTTCTGTACATCTTCGCTTTGAAGAGGTTTGTCTTGAACTGATATGAATTTCATTGTATATAAACTCGTTCAAATTATTGATTATCTTCTGTTTAGGACATGGTTGCTTTCTCATGTTGCGTATATGATGGTGGCGAACAAGAAAAAGTAGACATGGATGCTGCTAGAGAAAGAGGTTGGAAGGGAAAATTTACTAAACCTGGTCGAGTAATAGTTCCTGGAGCAATCAGATTGAATGGAAGCTGTCCCTTAACACCTTTAGAGGTATAGCTTTTCTCGACATCAGTTTCTTTTCCTTCATTTACATCTGTGTTATTTATTTATTTAATTTGTGTAGAAAGTAAGATTTTCATGTATAAATTAAAAATATATGGGAACTGTTCAGATTGACTGTAAAATATGATATTGGGTTGGGCTGCATGTGTTATTGAGATAGGAATAAGCTGGTGTGTTTAGATATGTTTTGGAAGTGTTTTGGGTTAATTTTGGAAAATAAAAAGTTGAATGAAAAATAGGTTTTTGATATTGTATAAATAGGTGTTCAACGTGATATTTTGAATAGAAAATAATTTGTTGATGTAATGTTAAATGAAAAATAGGATGTGATGTTTAGATAGGAATTTTGATGAATAGTGTGAACTGTCAAAATAATTTTAGGATTTTAGTTATTATTATTTGAGATTTATTTTGAATTAACAAATTTTAGGCTACTATGATAAGTCTCTATCCTTTTGTTCTCCATTTGTGCATATCTGTGACAGACCTTGGAGATATTTACATAATGCTATTTTTATCTCTGATTTCTGAATAACAATTATCTTCTGTAATAAGCGAATAGCTCTGTATAACTTGTACTAATGTATCGTGGATCAGGTAGGTCTGATGTTGAGGGGAATGGGCTTCAGCAAAAGCACTTCTCTCTATTTAGCGTCCGGAAAGATATATGATTCTGAAAGACATATGGCTCCTCTTCTGGAGATGTTTCCATTATTAGAAACGAAGGAGACGCTGGCATCTGCCGAGGAACTAGCCCCGTTTCAGGTCTCTTTTCGGGACATTAATCTCTTTTAATGAGCATATGAGCTAAGCTGTAAAGTTTTGTTTTCTGACTCGCTACTTCTCAGAATTACTCCTCCAGAATGGCTGCGATAGACTACACTGTCTGTCTACATAGCGAGGTATTTGTCACAACTCAAGGTGGGAACTTTCCACATTTCCTTTTGGGGCACAGAAGATTTTTATATGGCGGACATTCCAAGACTATTAAGCCAGACAAGCGGAAATTGGCATTGTTATTTGACAATCCAAATATTGGGTAATGAATTGTTTTTCTAGTAATCTAATTTCCTAAAAATCTGATAGGTGTAAATATGCAGTTTCAGGTGCTTTTTCTTATTTTTGCGTTATCTATTGAGTCGATACTCCTGTAAACTAGTCCATGCATACCTTACAACGATGTTTTCGTAACTTACAAAATAAGTGGAAATTTGTAATAGGATCTTCGATGAATCCTTTTAGAAGCCCCCCTTCCTCATTACAGTCATTAATTTCATTAATATTGTGGTTTTTCTCGCCAGGTGGAAGAGCTTCAAGCGGCATATGCTAAATATGCGATCTCATAGCGACTCGAAAGGTATTCAAGTGAAGAGACCAAACGACTCGATATATTCATTCCCATGTCCAGATTGCATGTGCAAAGGCAATAAAACTGAAGATTCACGAACATCATCCGTGACGTGATTGATTGATCCTACGGGCAGAAAGGTTCTGCTCCAGTTATCTGTGTACTTGTGGCTGCTAACCCCCTCTGATTCTTTCATTATTTTTTCCTCTCCGGAACCTGTTGTTAGAAAAAAGGTGCTAGGAATTGATTTTGTGGGACGAGTGATTCTTCCAAGGGAGGCGAGCTAAAGGGGTGAGTGCACGATGCCAGAAGAGAACCAAAAGTTCGTTGGAAACTACGTAGTGTGAATTACCTACCTTGCCATTAATTATACAACCATTCTTGGCGAAGCGGCAGATGAGAGGGGTTTGGACACGGTACGTTTGTTTTTGTCCATTTCCTGTACCATACGTACACATACACACACACACATACATTTGTTGTTTCTGCTGTAGCATACTTACCATAGAACGCATATGGGATTCGATTACATGAGTTCGAATTGAAGCTTAGAAGATTCTTCTACATTCGGGTGGTTTTTGAATGATAGGACTAACAAACAATCCCTGTTCGTGCATATTATGTTTTCGTTGTTATTTCTAGTGGTTTGACACAAAGCATGACATTGCCTTTAACGTATTGGAATTAGGTATGGCGTCGTTTGCACTGACTTGAGCTTTTCTAAGAGAAATGACATGTGATTTTTGGCTGTGTTGGACGATTTTGGAACTGTTTTCTTTATAGGCACAGTATGTGTGTGTTGCCTGGAAATCATTTTGCTTTGAGTTCACTACAACTATTGCATAGGGTTAGTACATATATATATATGTACATATGAAACTTAAAGTAGTGAAAAGGTTAGAATTAGTTCATTCGAAAGTTTTTTATTTTGAAAATAGTAAAAGTTGAATGAAAAATGTCACATATATATATATATGTGTGTGTGTGTGTGTGTGTGTGTGATATTATGAAGTCTTGATATATTTAGGCCTGTCAATTGGAACTATTCCAGATTCGATCTGGATCTGGTATTTTTTCTGGATACGGAACCTCATATGGATATTGTGTCCGGATCCGGATCTGTTTTATATGGTTTCGGATTTGGTAGATCTAGTTTGGATATGGATCTTTATATATATATACTAGTTATTTATTGATATATTTATATAAATATATATAATAATAAATTAGTTTAATTTATCTCTTTGACATTATAATGTTATTGTTAATTAAATAATTTTTTATATTTAAATTGAAAGCATTTGTTAATTATATTTAAATGTTGAAGTTTTGTAAATATTGATAGAATTATGCATTAGCCGGAACCTGAATGTGAAGTTAATTTGTATAAGGATATTGGATCCCAAATCGGATCTTAATCGAACTGGATCCAACTGAATCAGAAGGATCCGATTCTGGATCCGGTAACTATAAGAGAAAGTTGGATTCGGATATGGAACTTCATGATCCGGATTGGATCTAACCGTTGACAGGTATTGTATCTTTCTTAGGGTGTTTTTTATTTTATTTTATTTTATTTTTATTTTTATCAATTGATATTTTTAGGTAAAATAATTATTAAATACAATACTTTGCATGGAATATGTACAAGGGTTTGTTGTTTTGTTTTTATTTTATTTTTTACTGTTCAATTTTTATGATGTCATGTAAAAATATAATACATGAAATCATGCTAATGATTTAATGTAATGAAAGAAAATTATTTATAGACGTACTTACTATTTGGAATCAGCTCTAAACATAAACATATACGAAAAATGTTGATAGATTCAATAGTAAACAAATAAGAAACCAATTAAATATTAAATGTCCCAACTCTTTGTCCACGTTAGAAATTTAACTAAATTATAAATAATTAGTAAGTAATTAAAAAATATATTAGTATAAAAATTATTATATAATAAAATTAATTATATATTAAGATTGAAATAATTATAAATTATAAAAAAAATTAAAGATAAATTATGTGGGACTTAAATAAAAAATATGGACAAATGATGTAGGAAGGAGATAGTAGTTTTTGGCAAAAATAAAGAAAGAGTTTTTTAAGTTTTGCATTTTGAATTTCAATAATATTTAAGGTGAATATTTGTTGGACTCTTTGTTTTTTAGGAAAATTAAAAAATTATACAGTATAATTAAATAAAATCAAAGTGAATTAACATTATGCCCCGCAAGTGTCAAGACTGTTGTCTTTGCTTTAACATAATTGTTATGAGCATATTATAATAGAAAGCATTAAAAAGGATAAAATAAAATAAACAGCAAGATTGATTGCATTACATTTGTCGGATGTTAACATTACCATTTTTTTTTTTCAATGATGTGAAAATCCGTAATTGTTACTCTTTGAGTGCGGTAAATTTTTAGTCGAACTTAATAATATGCAAAATAAATCCAACAAGATAAGTTGTACTATACGAGTTTATGCGCACTGGATAAACTCCCGGTCGAACCTAATACCCTGCAAACCAGGCCCGACAGAAAAGTCACATTAGACGAACCATGTGTGGCAAGTCACTAGACGCTTTTCGTGTATTATTGAAAGGAGAATAAGTGTAAGATGAACATTTGTCACTCGAAAAAACTATTATTTTTTTTTTTTGGTGGTGGGAGGTTGGACTATTTGGTTTAAAGTTCGACTATTTAGTTCAAAATTGAATTTATAAATTTTAATTTTAATTTGATTATGGTTTTCAATTTTTAATTCCAGTTAGCTGAAATAGTCGAACTTTAAAAAAAAGTATATATTTATAAATAATAATATTATAATTTTTAGTATTATATTTGACCTATAACCCTAATCTTTATTATTCATAGGAAAATCAAAATTTTCGTTTGTTCGCTTTTTAACCAAACCGAATCGAAGTATTTTGGTTCGGTTTAATTCAATTTTGAAAAATTTTAATTCGATCTCAATCTCAATTTTTACTAATCGAAAATCGATCAAAATTTAAAGCACGGTTCGGACCAAACCGCTCGAATCCACACGCCTAAGTGAGTAAAGAGAATCCTATGGAGAGTTCTTCCTTGCCATCACACTCATGGAGTAAAGCCCCAACCCCTTGTCATTCGTATTTAAGTATCGTATGCTAGTTTTATTATTATTCGTTTGTCATCCAAACAATTCACAGATAACCTATTTAAATACAAACAAATCTATTTTGTTAGAATATTTTTTTGTTGAGTTATATCATTTTTGGAGCCAACAATATATAAAAAGATTTACCTTTTTTGTTACCATACTAACATGTCAAATTAGCATCGTGTTAATTTGATTCAGTCAGCATATATATATATATATATATATAACAGCATCGTGTTAATTTGATTCAGTCAGCATATATATATATATATATATAACATCATCGTATTAATTTGATTTAGTCAGCATATATATATATATATAACAATCGGACATATATGTCAATACATAATAATATAATATTCCGCTCATATTTTGATAATACATTATAATATACTTCATCTATCATTTAACAGTCTATTTATTTTTTCATTTTAGTCTCTCCCCTAACAAAATATTTTTTTTAAGTAACTGTACTATCTACCTAATATTACAAATACCATTTTAATTTACAATATATTACACAAATGTCATTACATTTATATTATACAATACTAATAAAAGTAGTTTAATCTTTCTATCTTTAATTCTACTGCATCCCAATATAATACTAATATTTATAAAAATCTGTGCAAAAAGTAAATGGATAGATAAATATGAGACAAAGAGAGTAATATACAATACAATATATTATTGATTTGAGCATAATAAATATATGTATACAACACGGTACAATATATAAACGGCACAAACACATACTTTAATATAACACAACATAATGTTATTGCCAAATATTAGAATGTACTGACTGTCGGTTATTGAAGCGTCAAATCAGCACTACCCTAACCGCCACTAAAATTTACATAGAGTGTGTTTGTTTGGGGGTTGGATTTTGAGTTTGAATTTGAATAGTAAAAATGTTGAATTTGAATAGTTGTATGATGTGATATAAATAGGTATTGATGTGATGTTTTGAATGTAAAATTAATTTTTGGTATGATATAAAAAATGAAAAATAGGTATTTGATTTGATATTTTTGGGGGATTAATATTTTGAATGTAGGATTTTTTTAAAATCCTACAAACGAAACACCAGTATTTTAAGTTAAAATACATGTGCATATATAATACACTAAAAAGTACTTGCCCATGTAGAATCCGGATTATTGCAAGATATAAAGGTAAAATATTACCTTGAAAGATAAGTATGACTTTGAAATTGAGAATTGGTATAGAGTTTGGTCTTGTGTTTTCAAACTCTTTTGTCTTTTTACTATTTATTATTTATTTATTTCTTAAAAAAAATTACATTCAATATTTTATATATATATAAAATGGGAAGTGTTACAGTCCAAATTAGCACATGTAAAATATAAAAATAACATATGTTTTTATTATACCCAACATGTGTTACGTGTATTAAAGATATGTATATAAGGGCATATCATGTGCTAAAATTAACTACTACATGTGTTGTGTGAGACTATATCATGAGTTGTTACTTCATGTGTTGTATTTATATTGTATCATATTATATTAATATAAATAATGTATTGTCAATAGTAATATAATGTGTTTTTAATTAGCATATTGTGTGCTATTCAACACAGTGTTAAATTTTAATTTCAGCATTGCAGATTCCGCCATACAAAATATTATCTCAATAAATAAATAAATAAATAAAAACGAGAACATAAAAAACCACTCATAATATCACTTTAAACAATACATTTTCAACACTTTTCAATTTGAATTATAAAAAAAAAAAGTGCGAAAGTTATATATATTTTTTTCGAGAAATACATTATTTCAGTAAGGAACATAAAATTACAGAGCTCACATAAAACATTCACAGTCATCATTTTTTTGTCTACAAGGTTTGCTTAGCTTTTGGAAACGTCGGATCTTTTCACATGTCGCATTTTGTGAAAATGTAAAGTGATGTCTTGGATTCATAAAGCTAATTTTGTCGTTATTTTGTTTACGGGTGAGGAGGCTTGTGCAACACTTTAGTGCTAACAGATATGGTCTTGTTCCTCAGTCGCCTCCGGACCGTGCTCACAATGGAAACGACTTGTGTCATCTTCTTAGATCTCATGGCTTTGTGATTGTCGTGGTGGGGGTGTTTATCAGGTATCTATGTCATGATCGATCAATATAATTAATTATATATAAAAATTAAAATAATCATATATGTGTATGTATATGTATACGGGGACAAGACCTCCTGCCTTTTAACATACCCTATCCCCAACCCCGACACAATATATATACAATTTTTGTACGTATGTAACTAAATTTGTTGCATAGGGTTGGGAATGTGTGTCGGGGCTAGGGGCACGGTATGTCTTGAGGCAGATGATCTCGTCCCATATATATTTAAAAAATGAAAAAAAATGTATTCTCTCTCTCTCTATATATATATATATGTAAGAAATTTGCAAAAAATATTTTTCACATATATCTAATTATCACTTTTGTTCTTTACTTATCTAGCTGGAAATATATATCATACACGTTTATAAAAGTTGTAATTTTTGTTATCCATCTGCGCATCATGTTCACACAACAACTGTTCCACGCGCAGCCGGATGACAAAAATAGCGACTTTTGCGAACGAATAGGATATATTTTGCCAACGCGATAAATAGATGATAAAAGTGATAATTGAGTACACATGAATGATATGTTTTGCAATTTTTTCGTATATATATGTGTGTGTATTTATATATACCTCGACCTGGAGACCTTTGGCGCCCGGAACATCAACCCATTCGATTTGTATTGCGACTTCGCCACATTCTACATCCTTAAGCCTAAGGGACATGTCTTGTGTCATCTTGCCTTGCTCCCACACGACGCAGCTTTCATCGGCGAGGCAATTGCTTCGGGTCGGCTGAACCCTCTCCACTTTTGTTCCATCGGGGAGATTTTCCAGCCCCATTTTCAGACATTCGATTAATGGGATGATGTCTATGTTAGCGTGTCCCATGTTGTCATCCCCGGAGAAGGTATCCTTGTCATAGACCGACTAACAACACACATATAATGATTATTGTTATTATATTAATTACAACAAGAAAGAACAGATCGTATGCATAGATCAATTAATAAATTAATTACCAAAACAATTGGATCCTCAAGATCCTTTATATATATCGTAAGTTCCTCGCTCCATACCGGGTTGCAATTCCTTTTCACAACCTTTGTTCTCACTCTCTGCTCAAAATACTCATTAATAACAACAATATAAGAAATGATCGAAAAACATTAGCTTTTTTATTCAAAAAAAGAAAAAAAAAAAAAAAGAAGGAAAATTGAAAAATATATCTCTTATGTATACTTCATTATCACTTTTGTCTTATATTTATCTCATATGTATACTTCATTATCACTTTTGTCTTATATTTATCTTGTTGGTAAAATATATCTCATATGTTTGCAAAAGTCGTTATTTATATCATTTGGCTGCGTGTAGCCGCGCGTGACCACGCGTGTAGTGAATATCACGCACGGCCAAAGAATAGAAATAACGATTTTTGTAAACATGTAGGATATATTTTGTCAGAGATATAAATACAATACAAAAATAATAATGGGGTATGCATAACCGATATTATCTGCAATTTTTGTTTTTTTTTAAAAAAAGCTTAGGAAATTAACGGTGCATGAATCTTATTGTCGACCTGATTCTCACAAGTGATAACGCAATACGGATCGCTGCTGAGGGTGTCGCGAACGGCAAGATTGATGCCTTTCTGAACTCGAATCTTAAGAAGTCCCAAAACATCCATTGAAAAAAAAGGAACAAAAAAAATAAAATTTATATATATATGTATGTATGTATGATCTTGGCTTCTTTTTTTTGGGGTATAGATTTAATTTTGTTCCTTCTCCTTCTTCTCCTAGTTTTAGGTTTGTTTTGTGTTTTGTTCAAACAAATTTGATGATGTTGGGATGGAGAAGAAACAGAAAGCAGAATTTGCTCCTGGTGAAGAGAAGAGACAATTAAATTAATTAATTAATTAATTAATTAATTAAGGAGCCATGCCATACACCAACTGCAAATTTCAGCCAACAGTTTGTGTTATTTATTTGGGACAGAAAAAGGTATCATGGATTTCCGACACTTTAGTCATCTTCATAACCTAAATTTAGTCTAAATTCATTTAAACCATCCTCTTTATTTTCCACTTTTACACATCTCATAAAAAAAATAATAAAAAATAAAAAATAAAGTGAGCCCACTCGGCCAGTTTTTTTATTTTTATTTTCTATTATTTTTCTATCACAATTTGCATGTAATTTATATATATTTCATTTGTCCCACATCTTCCGTTTTATGTTGGTGTTTCAGTTTCTTTCATTTTTTTGTCTCTTTTTTCTTTTCTTTTTTTTTTTGAAAAAAAAATTACATTTATTAAACACATTTTAAATTTACTAATCTATATTTTTTTTAATTTTAATTATACTAATTAGTTATATTGATTTTAATTATAATAATTATAGTAATATATTACTAATTATATCATTACCTTTTAAAAATCTTGTATTTACAATATGTCAGACTAAGAAAATACTATTTTTCTTACAAAAAAGTACAGCCAAACAATTTTTATTTTTATTTTTAAAAAATATATTAAACACATCCTAGTTTTGAAGTTTACTCGTAAAATATATATTTTATAAAAATTTATAGTTGTGGTTTGCATTTATATCTATATTTTTATTTAAATAATAAATATAATATTTTGTGAAAAAAATAACATTTCTATAATAAAGTGTATGATGTATAATAAAAGATAAAGAAAAATTTGTTTGTTTGGTTGTGGCTTAAAACTAATTTAAAATGAGGTATTGATTTTTATTTTTACTTAAATAGTATTTTAATTTTATATTTTTTTAAAAAAAAATGTGTATTTTTATTGAAAATTGTACTAAATAAATAATATTAATTTATATTTGAAATGATATAACTTATAATTTTCTAACTATGTCTTTTTTAAAGTTTTAAATTTAAAGACATATAGTTTGGATCTGGACAATTATACAAAGTATGCAGTAGGTTGATTATGGTATCAAGTGAAATAATCAACATGGTGCTTATTACTCTGATCAACACATTGTAATAATATATTCAACATATGATTGTTGTTGAATGTGTTGTTATATTATCAGTGTGTTATATATTATGAAAATAGTTAGTGTGCTGATTTGGATAAATAAGCACCATGTTGATTTATTCAATCAACACACAAAAAACGGTCATATAACACAAATAAAATAGATATGCAGCATATGTTGTATAACATAAATCATATGCTTTCTGTTTATACTTATGGGTGTCTTGTACATAAATATGTTATGTACTAGAATTAAGGATAATATGTACTGTGTGAAGCTATATTATGTATTTGTAGTTCATATAATGTATTTGTATTATATTAATATAAATAATGTGATATTGGTGGCGCTTGACGTAACGACCTCTATCTATCTTATCTTGGACGACTGAGATCTGATTGGCTTTATATACTTCTACTTATTGGGGGAGGCAGATAAAAACAATCTTCCATCATAATTTCTATTTTTATAAAAATTTCATATATTCTTTGATTTTTGCAGATCTAATTCATCTCCCCTCTATAATTTTTAAAGATTAAAGAATATTTTACTATTTTTAATTTACTTGTATATTTATAAGTAATATTCAATATTTTACTATTTTTACATATTTATTTTATAATAATATTTTAAATATTATACTAAGTTAAATTTATTATTTGATCATTCAAATTAATAAATATTTTTTTAAATTAATTTTTTTTTAAGATTATTAAACAATATTTATACTAAATATAGATATATATATATTATTTGATTAAATATAATATGCACAACATAACTAGTCGTCAAGAGTTACTATATTGTTTGATTAAATAATTGTATAGTTCGAAATGGGTATCCCTACTTCTTATTTGTTGAGGACTCCCGTTTGCGGGATATGTAACTAATGGCTTAGTTTCCCTAACAAGTTCGAGCTTTTAGGTGAGACGGTCATTAGCTTCCGACATGGTATCAGAGCCATGCTTTTTCCCGACTAAATCGAAACAACCCACGAATTCCAGATAGCATATTTCCGATCACTTCCGACCGTCACCGCCACCACCATCGTCTTCGCCGTCACGAGACCGGCCGGACGCCGGAACAGTTCGGCGAACGGCGGCGCGTGAGAGTCACACGCGCCCGACGTGTTTTTCCGGCCGGACGCCTCGCCGGCGCGTGGGGGCGCGTGCGGCGGCCGTTGGCGGCGATCTTTGCACCGTCGTGTTCGGAATTTGATTTCCTCCGCGATGGTATCTTCACTTCCTCGGTTTGAGCAGTTTTTTGTATCCGGTTGACTTTTTGTGTTTCGGGTTTTGATTCGGTTTCTTTCGTTTCGGCTTTCGGCTTGAGGTTTGAGATTCTGTTTTCTCTTGAGTTTCTATGGAAAAGATGGATGTACATATTCCGATCAATGTTGTTTTGTCTGGAGATAATTACAGTTTGTGGGCACAATCGATGAAAAGTTTTTTGATAGGTCGGAAATTGTGGCGAATTGTTACGGGAGATATAGTTGCCCCCATTGCTCCAGTCTCTATAGGAGAAGTTACGCCTACCGCCACAGTTGTTGAATCTTATATTGAAAAATTGGAAGATTGGGATAGTAAAAACCATCAAATTCTCACTTGGTTGCGCAATACTTCCACTCCGGCGATCCATGTTCAGCTTGCCCAATTTGACACTGCCAAGGCAGCGTGGGATTTCTTGGCAGTCCGCTTCCGTGCTACTGGTTTGGCACATTATTATCAGTTATGGAGCACTCTCCACGATCTAAAACAGGAACCAGGACAATCTATCAACGACTTCCTTGCCCAAGTGCAACCCCTTTGGCATCGGTTGGATCAAGCAGAGATCAGTCCTGATCATCTTCGCCTCATTCAGGTCTTAATGGCTTTGCGTCCAGAGTATGAGGCAGTTCGTGCCTCTTTGTTACATCGGCATCCACTTCCTACCTTGGATGCAGCTATTCAGGAGATTCTGTTTGAGGAAACTCGTCTCCACCTAGCTAAGGCTCCTCAGCTTGACTCTGCTCTTGCGGTCACTGCCCGAACTCCTACTCAGAGTCGTTCTCATCGTTGCAAAAGATGTCAGTCCTCTGATCATGACTTCGGTCATTGCCCAAAGGTGGAGTGTCACTACTGTCATGTTTTAGGCCATACTATACAGTATTGCCCCACTAGACCACCTCGCTCTGGAAGTAGTAACTACAAGCCTCGGAATTCTCGTGGACCTCAGTCTGGTACCTCCTCTGTCACAGCCTCTGCTGCGCCTGCGCCTGCGCCTCCTACGATTCAGGACCTGGAAGCTCTTCTTAAACAGGTTCTATCTTCCAATACCGCCATGTCTACCACATCAGGTAACTCTCCTTGGTATTTTGATTCTGCTTGCAGTAATCATATGACCTCTGATATACGCCTTATGACCTCCACATCCACCGCACCATCCTTACCCCCTATCCTTACTGCCGATGGTACCCATATGCGCATCACCCATACCGGACATACATCCACCTCATCCTTATCCCTCCCTGACACATATTGTATCCCTCAATTAACCTTAAATCTGATTTCCGTTGGTCAATTAGTTGATCAAGGTCTCACCGTGTTATTTTCTTCTACTGGTGTGCAGGTTCAGGACGCGCAAACCGGGCGGACTCTTGGGAAGGGCCGGAAGACGGGCCGCTTATTTGAACTTACGTCACTTCAGGTCCCTCGTCCCTCTATCTCAGCTGCCACCACCTCTACACCATCCTGCCTTCAGTGGCATCGTCGTCTCAGTCATGCGTCTTCCAATAAAGTCAGGTCCTTGATTAGTCAGGGTAGTTTGGGTTCTGTTAAGTTTGAGTCTTTTAATTGTGTAGATTGTTCGTTGGGAAAACAACCTGCTCTGTCGTTTCCTCATAGTACTTCCATTGCGGATACTCCATTCTCTTTAGTTCACTCGGATATTTGGGGACCTTCGCCCACTGTGTCTATGAATGGTTCTCGTTATTTTGTGATTTTTATTGATGACTATTCTCGTTTTACATGGATTTACTTTCTGCGGCATCGCTCTGAACTTCCATCTATTTATATGACCTTTGCTAAAATGATACATACCCAATTTTCCTCTACTATAAAAACTCTCCGCACAGATAATGCTCTTGAGTATACTGATACATCATTTCTTAGTTTCTTATCTGATCAAGGTACTGTTGTCCAACGCTCCTGCCCATACACCTCTCCACAAAATGGTCGCGCCGAACGCAAACACCGACATATCCTCGATACAGTCCGCACCCTTCTCTTATCAGCCTCTTGTCCAGATCGCTTTTGGGGAGAAGCCGCACTCACCGCTGTCCACACTATAAATCGTGTCCCTTCCTCTATCCTAGGTAATGTCAGTCCTTTTGAAAGACTATTTAATCGTACCCCTGATTATAGTCTTCTCCGCCCTTTCGGTTGTGTCAGTTTTGTCCTCCTCCCTCCTCATGAGCGCACTAAGTTAGAACCTCGCGCTCGTCTGTGTTGCTTCCTGGGCTATGGGTTAGAACATAAGGGTTATCGTTGTTGGGATCCTATTTCCAATAGGCTACGTATTTCTCGTCATGTCACATTTTGGGAGGATACCAAATTCTCTTCCTTGTCTCACTTCCGAGTCCCCTTTGATCGTTCGTCTCCGTTCTTTACCTTGTCCTCTCCACCCCTATTCC